AAAGTTTCATAATTATCTCATTTTGATCCACGTACCCCTATATGTAATAAGGAGATCCACAAGATTATCCATTTATAAAATATAGCAAATCATATGCCGGATGCGTTTACTGATTTAAAAAGGATAACTAAGTCATATATCCATACAGAGAATGTGCCTATCCAAATTGATATCCCAGTTGGACCATCTACTAGCATGAAAGCTAGTGAACCTAAAGCACACCTGAAGCGTGATAGGCGTTTAAGTTCTAAGGATCAAAATCCTCGAAAAAGAAAATCGATAAATGATCAAAATGATATTATAAAGGGATTTCCTGAAGAAAGCCAAGATCTGATTAGTTCTGGTATTCCTGAAGAAATCAATGAACTCGAGACTCAAGTGAGCGAGGAACTGTTAATAAGTTCTACTGGTGATGGGATTAATTTAAATCGATATGAAATAGTGGTGGATAATATTTTTGCATATAATGTTGCACTTAACATTATGCAAGATAGTGAGGATTTTGAACCCGATCTGTCGAAGAATGTCGACAAAGATCTGATTGGCTAAAATGACAAGTGGCAATTCAGTCAATTCAATCAGAATTGAACAGACTTGCTAAAAGAGAGGTCTTTGGACCAGTAGTCCAAACACATGGTGGTATAAAATCAGTTGGTCATAAATGGGTATTTGTGCGAAAAAGGAATGACAAAAAGGAAGTTGAAAGATACAAGGCTCGCCTTGTCGCATAAGGATTCTCACAACGACCTGGAGTCGATTATGAAGAAACATATTCACCCATTATGGATGCTATAACATTTCGATATCTCATCAGTTTAGCCTTACGTGAAAGGCTTGAAATACATCTGATGGATGTGGTTACAGCTTATCTATACGGTTCACTTGATAATAAGATTTACATGAAAATCCTTGAAGGATTTAAAATGCCTGAAGCAGATTCAAAATCTCGATTAATGTATTCAATCAGATTACAAAGATCTTTGTACGGTTTAAAGAAATCTAGGCGCATGTAGTATAATCGCCTTAGTGAATATTTATTGAAAGAGTGTTGCATAAATGATGTTATTTTTGCATGTATTTTTATAAAGAAAATGGCATCAGAATTTGTTATACTTGATGTTTATATTGATGACATAAATCTTGTTGGAACTCCAGAAGACCTCCAAAAGGCAATTGAATATCTTAAGAAAGAATTTGAGATGAAAGATCTTGGAAAGACAAAACTTTGTCATGGTCTGCAAATTGAACATTTAGCAAACGAGATCTTTATACATCAATCTGCCTACACAGAAAAGGTCTTAAAATGATTTTACATGGACAAAGTTCACCCATTGAGTACACCAATGGTTGTCAATCACTTGAAGTGAATAAGGACCCGTTCCGATCTCCAGAAGAGGATGAGGAACTCCCTGGTCCTGAAATACCCTATCTTAGTGCAATTGGTGCACTTATATATCTTGCTAATGCTACAAGGCCCGACATAGCATGTTCTGTTAATTTACTAGCAAGATATATCTCTTCTCCTACACAGAGACATTGGGATGGGATTAAGCATATTTTGCGATATTTAAAGGGAACTCTTGATATGGGTCTGTTTTATGCTAACAAAGGTAGTGTAGATCTTGTTGGTTATGCAGATGCAGGTTATTTATCTGATCCCCATTAAACTCGATCTCAAACTGGGTATATGTTTACATGTGGAGGTACTGTCATATCATGACGCTCCACAGAGCAATCTATTGTTGCTACTTCTTCAAATCATGCTGAGATAATAACTATTTATGAAGCAAGTAGGGAATGCGTATGGTTGAGATCAGTGATTCATTTTATTCAAGAAAAATGTGGTTTGGAATGTGATAAAAGATCCACAATTTTATACAAAGACAATGTTGCAGGCATAACCCAATTAAAGAAAAGATTTATAAAAGGAGATAGAACGAAGCACATTTCACCAACATTATTCTACACACATGATCTTCAGAAAAATAGTGACATCGATGTGCAACAAATCCGTTCAAGTGACAATCCAGCAGATTTGTTCACTAAATCTTTGCCAACTTTAACTTTTGAGAAGATGGTATACAAGATTGGAATGCGGAGACTCAAATATTTGGAACAAGGTTTTTATCAGGGGGAGTGAAATACGTGATGTACTTTTTTTTCTTACTAAGATTTTTCCCATGGAGTTTTTCTTGTAAGGTTTTTAATGAGGCAACTAGAATTGCGTATAACTAAATATGTGTACTCTTTTTCCTTCACTTGGATTTTCCCACTAGATATTTCCTAGTAAGGTTTTAACGAGACACAATATCTTTTAATGAACATTGAAGGGGAATGTTAGATGAAAATAATAATATGGATGTCCTATTATTACTCCGCTATAGATAATTTTCCTGAAGAAGATTATCCGTTTGAAGTCCATAAGGAGTCCTCTCTCTCCTTAGGCTCTCAGCGCGCATTAGCTAACGTACGCTAGGCGGCTGCCATGGGAAGCGGGCGAGGTCGTGGATGAGGAAGACCCAAAAAATCACCCATAATCGCATTTGGAAACACAGTTAGTACTACAACAACATCCAAATTGAGTCAATCTCAGGAGCAAGACCTGTCGACACCGGAGATGCAAAAGACGGCGATTAAACCAAGGGAAAGTGAATCAACATCGAAAACTACTGGGGTAAGTAAGCAATTGCATTTAAGTGCTCCTCTATCAATTACTCAGAAGGATCAATCAAACAAGGAGAAATCCAATGAGAAAATCAATGGAACAGTAACACCTAACCCTAATGTGGAGATTGGGGCTGGAGATAACAGAAACAAAGGGAAAATGCATGAGCAGGAAGAGATAAGTGTAAATAAACCAATTGCACCTATCATAGAGGTGATTGAGAGTGGAAAAACCCAGGTGCCTATCACTAAAGTAAACAAGGATACAGCCAAAGGACCAAAACTTTGGGCAAGTCTGTTTCAGCAGAACATAGCAGCAACACATGGGATGGCACTCAGCTATATCCCACTAGCAATAGTGAATGGGAAAACAGTGGTGCAACTAGATCTACAAGATGTAGAAAAAGAGGAAGAGAAATGGCGATGTGCTATGATTGCATACATAATAGGAGAAAATCCTGGATACAATGCGATGAGAAGATATATAGCTCAATATTGGCTGGACATTGCAGAACCAGATTTATTCCTATATGAGGAGGGATACTATGTTGTTAAATTCCAGTCGATGTATGATTTGCATAAAATTCTATATGCTGGACCCTATACAATCAGCAACAGACCAATCATCCGGAAACCTTGGACACATGACTTTGATTTGAGCAAAGAATTTCTCACAGAAATTCCATTGTGGGTGATCTTACCTAAACTTCCAATGAATTACTGGGGTAGTGCATCTTTAAGTAAGATTGCTAGTGCAATTGGAAAATCATTATTTGCTGATGAATGTACCACCAAGCAAACAAGAATCTCATATACGAGGATGCTGATTGAAACTAATGTAACCAAAGCCTTGCCAACAAAGATCACTGTGATTGATCCTAGAGGAAAACAATTCCAATAGAGATTAATATATGAGTGGAAACCAATGTGTTGTGACAAATGCCAGACTATTGGGCATAAATGTGCCAATCAACAAAGGCCTAGAATACAACAAGAGGAACAACCTAGAAGAAGAAGAGAACCAAAAAAGGTCACATATGAATGGAGAACTAAAGAAAATGTGGCTGCAACAACAGAACTTGTGGCAATAGCAACAGAAGCTCCAGGAGATCAAAGTAGGACTGCCCAACAAAGTCAAGGTATAACTCAAGATGAGACTCAAAGGATCTCACAACTAAAGGAAGCCAGAGTACCAGTGCAATCTGAAATGCATAAAGATAAAGCCAAGGAGGTGAGTAGCCCAACTTTGAACTTGATTAACTTTTCAAGACTATCACCCTCCACTAGCAGGAATGACAAGGTGGATTCAAGAAGGAATAGTGGTGTAAGCCGGTCCTTACCTCATGACAGAGGTGAGGGCAAAAATCATACACAATGATTTGGTTATTCTAGAATGTCAGGGGCATGAATAAGAGATATAACTAGAAGGAACTGAGGAACTACTTGAAAGTCAATAATATAAAACTAGTTGGTATTGTTGAGACTAGAGTTAAGGAGCATAATGCAAGTAGAATTTGTAATTATATTGCCCCTGGCTGGGATGTGATACAGAACTATAGTCATGCTATAAATGAAAGGATATGGATTCTGTGGGATTCTAGATGCTATACAGTTACACTGCTAAGGACAGATGCACAAATACTGCATTGTCTAGTTAATGGAATTACTGGGAATATTAACTATTATCTGACAATTGTTTATGGATTTAATACTATTAATCAAATGAAGCTTTTATGGGATAATCTGAAAGAGGTTTCTCAAGAAATTACTAAACCATGGCTAATTGGTAGTGATTTTAACTCAATATTGTACACTCAAGACAGACTACATGGATGTGCAGTTAATAGTGCTGAGATTAGGGATTATGCCAATTATATTCAAACACTAGGGCTAACTGAGATAACATGGAAAGGGAAATACTATACGTGGTCTAATAGGCAGCCTGGGTCAGATAGGATATGGAGTAGAATTGATAGAATGTGGGAAACTATGAATGGATGATGACATGGGGACATATCAATATTGTATATGGTATGCCTTTAATCTCTAATCATTCTACCATGACTTTAAAGCTAGATCTACAATAGATAAGTGGAAAAGCATCTTTTAAGTTTTTCAATGTGTGGGCAGAGCATGAAGAATTCCTGAACATTGTGCAACAACACTGGGAGCAAACATTGCATTTCAAGAAAATGAACAATATTTGGCTTAAATTGAAAGCTCTTAGACCCCTGCTCAGAAAGCTGAATATTCAAGAGTTCAAGTATATTAAGTAGAAGATTGAAAGAGCCAGAGCAGACCTTATTAATGTACAAGAAAGAATATGTACACAGTGCATGGATGATCTTTTAATGGAGGAGAGGATCCTTATGCAAAACCTGGAGAAATGGGATCTTTTGGAGGAGGGTGCTTTAAAGCAGAAAGAAAGAACAAAATGGATCAAACTAGGTGATTCTAATTCCAAATATTTCACAGCAGTGATCAAGGAAAGGCAGCACAAAAATAAAATAGTTGAACTAACCTCTCTGATAGGAGATAAAATCACTGATCCAACAGGCATTAAAGAGGAAATTGTAAACTTCTACAAGGGATTAATGGGAACACCTGCACAGAGACTACCAGCAATTGACAAGAGTATAATGGCAAAAGGTCCTACTCTATCACAATAACAGAGAATCTTATTATGTATGGATGTCACTGAGCAGGAAATTTATCAGGGATTATGTTCTATAGGGGATAACAAAGCTCCTGGTGTTGATGGTTTTAATGTCGATTTTTTCAAAAAAACATGGAGCATCATCAAAAATGAAGTCACTGAAGTTGTTACAGAGTTCTTTGCCACAGGGAGCATATACAAAGCCATCAACTGTACAGCCATTACTCTAGTACCCAAGACTTCCAAGCCTAATACAATAAAATAGTTCAGGCCAATTGCATGTTGCACAGTCCTCTATAAGCTCATCTCAAAGATTCTAGCTTCAAGACTCCAGGCTGTTATCTCTACTGTTATAAGTAACTCACAAGCTGGATTTATCCCAGGAAGAAAACTTGCAGACAATGTTATCCTTGCACATGAATTGGTCAAAGCATATTCCAGAAAACACGCCTCTCCCAGATGCATGATTAAGATTGATCTCCAGAAGCTTATAATTCTGTTGAGTGGCCTTATTTAAAACAAGTTATGGAAGAGTTGGGGTTTCCTCAATTGTTTACTTCTTGGGTTATGGAATGCATACAAACTGTGAATTACTCTATTGTAATAAATGGTGAACACACAAGACCTTTCAATGTTGCTAAGGGACTCAGACAGGGGGGATCCAATGTCACCCTTCCTATTTGCAGTGGTAATGGAGTATCTGAACAGAAGTTTACAGGAGCTTAGGACAAACAAGGAGTTCAAATATCACCCTAGATGCTCTAAATTAGGAATAACACATATGTGTTTTGCTGATGACTTATTGCTCTTTGCTAGATGTGATGTAGTATTAGTGAAGGCTATATATCAGAAATTTGCATAGTTCACTACAGTATCTAGATTGCAAGAAAATCAGACCAAAAGTGCAGTGTATTTTGGGGGAGTCACAACAACAAAACAACAAAGGATCCTGCTGCAATTAGGCTTCAGTGGTGGTGAGCTTCCTTTCAAATATCTTGGAGTTCCCTTTTCTACAAAGAAGATGATTATTATGCAATGGCAGCCCCTAATAGATAAAATGACAGCATGAATTTCATCATGGACTGCACGCAAACTCTCTTATGCTGGAAGGGTTCAATTAGTGCAAAGTGTACTCTTTGGGATACAAGCATTCTGGGCACAATTATTTATCATTCCTGCTAAGGTGATTAAAACAGTTGAAAGCATATGTCGATCTTATGTTTGGTCAGGTGACAATGTGATCATAAGAAAGGCTCTATTAGCTTGGGATAAGGTCTGCCTACCTAAAGCAGGGGGGACTAAATCTAACTAATATGTATATTTGGAACAAGGCAGCCATAGCTAAGACATGTTGGGACCTAGCTCACAAACAAGATAAATTGTGGATTAGATGGATACATACATATTATATTAAAGGCCAACAGTTTGCTAATGTATCAACACCTCAACAAGCATGCTGGATGGTGAGGAAAATATTTGAAGCTAGAGGAAATATTGAGAATGTGCAGTGGGAACAAAATGCAAAGAAGAGTCTGATAAGGCAGATTTACTTTAACCTACTCGGTGACTACTCAAAGAGTTGAATGGAAGAGTCTCATGTTCAACAATGCAGCGTGTCCAAAAGCAAAGTTCATAATGTGGTTGATGATGCATGACAGAGTTTTAACTGCTGATAGACTGAGTAAATGGGGGATGAATGCCAACACACAATGTATATTGTGCCAGGTACAAGAGGAGACACGAAACCACTTGCTTGTGCAATGTGAATATACCAGGAGAATCTGGCATAAATTATGGCAATGGATAGGGATCCAGGAAGAAAACACTTTGAACTGGAATGACTTTAACCGATGGATCATCAAATGTGCGAAAGAAAAATCTCAACAAGCTCAAATCTTTAAATTGGCGTACACAAAGACAGTTACCATATATGGATTGAGAGGAATATTAGGATATTTGAACACAAGCAAATGCTGGGAGGACATTGCCAAAAAGATAGCCTTTGTATGTTGTGCACGAGCCTCTTCTAAGATTGTCCATAAACTTAGGAATTGTCTGTTTTGAAACTTCTTTGTAGCTGAGTAGATAGTATACTGTGAAGAATAGTTATTTTGTCTCAGGTTTAGATAGCTAGCTTTGTTGGCCTAGCTATGGCTTTGTAAATACTTTACTTTGGTGATTAATACAAGTAAATTAGTTACCAAAAAAAAAATATTATCCGTTTGATACTCTATTGAAATTTATCTACAAGCAGCTAATGCAGGCATGTTGCAAGCAACTCAATGAAATGATTTGCAGCAGCTTCTTATTAAACAGGTAGGTTGCAAGCAGCTCACGCAGATAGCTTACAAGCAGCTCAAGAAAAGCCTCGCAGTTGCTTCCTTTCTTCCATAAATAGAGAAGTTTTCAATTCATTATATACATCAATTTAAAATTGAATAATATATCAGTTTCTCTCTATATTTGTTTTTACTTTACAGTATTTATTTTATAACAGATCCCAATATGTAAGCTCTTTCCTTTTTTAATTTTCTTAGGCTCAAATTATTCTAAATTTGAAGATATGATATTTGACCTGTAATACATAGCAACGAGTTATACCTAAAAGTAATATTTGTAGATCAGACCGCTGATCTCTACATCAAATACATCTCATGTAGTTGATCTCAAATTAAAGTTATTAAAATTGAATCATAACTTTTAATTTTGAAATTTTGATACTGTCACGACCCAAAATCACACCTGTCGTGATGGCGCCTATCTTAATACTAGGCAAGCCGAAAACCTCTATAAACCATATTTTTTTTTAAATGCGGAAATATAATAATTAATTTAAGAGAAAACTCCACACATACTGATATAAATACACTCCCAAAACCTGGTGTCACTAAGTACATGAGCATCTATACATTACAAGTCTGGGAAACCCGGTCTATAATTGTCACGACTCAAATTTTCCTTCCGTATAACGCCGTGACGGTACCTAGTCTCTATGACTAGGTAAGCCTAACATTTGCGAAATAATAAAATGAAAGCAAAATTTTAACACCTAACTGTTCAAAAATACATAGCAAATCCCAAAACCCGGAACATCGTGAATCACAACCTACAAAAGGAAAAATCTAGTGTCTCTATACATCAGAATTCTAACAAGGAAGATATATAAGATAATGGATATGAGAAAGAGTAGAAGGGGACTCCGAGGTCTGCGGACGCGACAGATATACCTTGAAGTCTCCAAAGTTGTCCCGGCTCACTGATAGTGCGGCTAATAAGGTGTACCTGGATCTGCACACGAAAAATATATGCAGAGAGTAGTATGACCACAATCGGTACCCAGTAAGTGCCAAGCCTAACCTCGGTCGAGTAGTGACGAGGTCAGGTTAGGACCCTACTGGTAATTATATAATAAAACAATATAGAGTGTAATACCGCAATAAAATAAAGGCTGAAATTTAACAACAATAGAATCATAGAAGGTAACAGCTCAGTACACAGAAACATAACAGGGGATCTCCCGAGATACCGTCTCGTAGTCCCAAATGTAAATGAGCAGGAAAATCTCCCGGAATACCGTTCCGTAGTCCCAAAGTAAATGTGCAGGGGAATCTCCCGGAATAACGTTCCATGATCCCAAAGTAAATATGCAGCGCGAGTGATAGAAAGACAACTACATCCCGAAATTCTTACAATTTAGACTAAGTACCAGTCAGGGAAGAAGCAGGAAATTCACTAAGCATGCTGCACATAATTCACATAAACAATTAAGACACGTAGACATGCTGTATTAGACTAAACATGATAGCTACACATATTGGAATAACTCAATTAATAATGAAAATAGATTAGTACTCATTAAAATGGTATAACTCAAAATAACAGGAAAACATGTTGCTACTCAGTAAGAAAATCGGGTTTCTCCACAACTAGCCCGTATACGTACTCGTCACCTCATGTACACTGCGCTCACATAGAACAATAGTTCCAAATCTTAAGAAAATTTTTTCCACACGAAGTTAGGCAAGCCACTTACCTCGAACCAAGCTAAATCAATCGGTCACAATGCATTTTCCACGAATATCCGGCTCCGAATGGCCCAAATCTAGCCAAAAGCAATTACATATCATAAATACAACAATAATAGGCTCATCTAATTAACGAAATTAACATTTTAACAAAAATTCCGAAATTAACTCAAAATCGTCCGTGGGCCCCACGTCTCGGAACCCGACAAAAGTTACTGAATATGAATGCCCATCCAACTACGAGTTCAACCATATAAATTTCACCAAAATCCGACATCAACTCGAGCCTCAAATCTTCCATTAAAGTCTAAGAAGATTTCTACTATTTTCAACCCAATCTTTACCCATTTGAACCTAATAATCTTTCCATAACCTTATTGGTATGTATACATAATACTCTTACACCCAAAAATCATATTATAAATCACCCTTCTTTACTCCAAACCCGAAATTGAAGAATTGAGGAAAGAAATTCTTACCTCTTTGAAGCCCTAGCAAGATCCTTGTGAAATTTTCAAACCTTGAACAAGAAATTGATGGATAAATGACTAAGTCTTCACTTTCTCTCTCTAATATGCTCTCCTCTCTCTAAAATATTATATGAAACCCTTCAAAATGACCCCCAATAGTGTTTTATAAGAATGAGGTCGGGTTTATAAAATCAGTAAAGTGAAGCTCCGAAACGGATTCTGCGGTCGCATATGCGACCGCATAATGGTTATGCAGACCATATATCGGTCGCATATCGGTGTCCAAAACTAGCAAACATCTGCCTGAGTATGCGGTCACTATGCGGCCCGCATACCTATTCTGCGGTCGCATAGTGACCGCAGAACAGTTATGCGGTCGCATAGTCGACCTCCGATTTCATCCAAACTGGCCCTCTTCTGCCTCACTTCTGCGGCCATTATGCGGCCCGCAGAGTGATTATGCGGTCGCATAATGGACCGCAGAAATGCATTTTTCTGCCAAAATATTTTTTTTACTTCCCGGTGCATTGTTCAACCCAAAAAGTTCGAGCCCATAAAACCTTAAATTTCTATAAACCTTGTACTAATTGATCTACCTCGACCCCATAAAACCTTAAATTTCCTTAGCAAATATTCTTCGGGTCACTACACATACGTCAACATCTGGTCAACCTTTTCAACTGAATTTTGAAACCTTGGAACTAGGTATTCCAAATCATTCAAAAACCTCACCGGACCCGAACCAATTACCCCCGGCAAGTCACATAACAAATATAAAGCATAAATTGAGCAGTAAATGGGGAAACTGGATTATAATACTCAAAACGACCGGCCGGTTCGTTACAATAATAATCCGAGACCAAATACAATAAACAAAAGGGTAAGGAAGGAGAGACGAGGTCTACGAAATATAGCAGCTACCTCTGAATCTTCGGAAAATCAACTGTGTGAAATAATCAACACCCACTGTGTTCGGGATCACCAGGATCTGCACGCGAAGTGCAGGGTGTAGTATGAGTACA